GTATGGCCTGCATGTATGTTGAGTGCACCCATGTCGTACAATGCTGTGGAAGTCAGAAGAGGGCATTAGATTCCCCTGGAACTGGAGTTAAGGAGGGTTCATAGCTGCCATGTGGGTGCTGGGAATTGAACCCGGGTCCTCTGCAAGAGCAGTCAGTGCTCTTAACCACTGGGCCATCTCTCCAGCCCCCAAATAAAATATGTTTTAAAATATTAAAAAATTTTAAAAAGACACTGAAGATTGAACAGCCCCCAGGTTCACAAATAATAGGAATGCAAATAGGAAAGAGCTGAAATATTAATTCTTACAGAATTAATATTGTAAAAATGGCTACATTACTGAAAATAATCCACAGATTCAGCAAAATCCTCAACCAAATTCCAGAGATTCTTCACAGAACAAGAAAAAACAATTCTGTAATTTGTACGGAAGCATAATGGACATAACAAATGGACATAACAGACAAAACAGTCCTAAGAAGAAGGCAATGCTGACCTGAAATTACACTATGGGGCCATAGGAAGAGAAATTGTATGGTACTGGCACTACAGCAGACATTCAGCTCATTGGAACAGAACAGAGGACCCGGATATAAACTCACACAGCTACAGCCACCCACAGCCACCCACTTTTCTACAAAGGTGTCAAAAACACATGTTGGAGAAAAGGATAATCTTGTCAATGAATGGTTATGGGAAACCGGATATTCATATGTAGAATAATGAAACTAGATCCATGTTTCTCACCTGTCAATTTGAAATGGTTCAAAAATGATGGCAAAGACCTGAAACTTTTAAACTGCCAGTTTTACATAGGTAAAACACTTCAAGATACAGGCAAAGGCAAGGGCTTTCTGACAAGACTCTAGTGGCGCAGGAAACAGTCCCCCAAACTGACAAATGGGATCACATGAAATGAAAAAATGTCTGCACAGCAAAGAAAATAATGATCAAAGTAAAGAGACAACATACAGAATAATAAAAGTTTCTGCCCACTGTACATTAGACATGGGATTAATATCTAGAATATGTAAAGAGTTACAAAAATGAATTGCCCAAAAAATCATCCAATCAATAAATGGATAAAGGATCTAAATAGACTGTTCTCAAAAGAAGAAATACAAATGGTCAATAAGTACTTGAAAAATATTCAATATCCTTACCCATCAGAGAAATGAAAAGTAAAACTGCATTGAGGGGTGCCTGGTGTGGTGCCATGTGCCTTTAATCCCAGCACTCAGGAGACAGAGGCAGATAAATCTCTGCCAGTTTGAGGCCAGCCTGGTTTACTTAGCAAGTTCCAGGCCAGCTGGGGCTACATAGTGAGACCCTGTCTCAAAAACAGCAAGAAAGAAAAACAACACCAAAAGAAGAAAGAAAGAAAGAAAGAAAGAAAGAAAGAAAGAAAGAAGGAAAGAAAGAAAGAAAGAGAAAGAAAGGAAAGAAAGAAAGAAAGAAAGAAAGAAAGAAAGAAAGAAAAAAGAAACTGAGATGGAACACTGGGCGTGGGAGGTGGAAGTAGGAGGGTCAGGAGTTCAAGATCATCTTCAGCAACACAGAGAATTTGAGGCTAGCCTGGACTACATGAGACCCTGTCTCCTCCCCCTGTCCCTCACCAGGCAAGGAGGAAATTTAATAAATTACTTAATTTCTTGCCAGGTGTCGTGGCGCATGCCTTTAATCCCAGCACTTGGGAGGCAGAGGCAGGCGGATCTCTGTGAGTTCGAGGCCAGCCAGGTCTACATAGTGAGTTCCAGGCCAGCTGGGGCTACAGGGAGACCCTTTAGCTCTCTAAATAGCCCCTCCTTACCCACCTCTGTTTCTGACTTAACATTCTGTGACTAACAGATAAAAACCTTTTGGAATGTATTAACTTAGCAGGCCACCAGCTTCCACCAACCAAAAGGCTATATGTCATCAGATAGCATCTGAGGCTGATAGCTGAGATTTCCTTTTTGCCTTTTTATGATTTCTCTTTTTGCCTTTTTATGTTTCCACCTTTTTATGTTTCCATGTATTTTAAAAGTATCTTGATTTACAGCTTTCTTTTTCTGTTGTTATAAAAACTTCATGAAACTGTTAGCTTGTTGGAACATAGAATTTGGGGTAACCTGAATGGTCATGGTCATGGTCACTCATATTTGGCTCTGTAATAAACTATCTCTTATTCCCAAAGGAAAAACAGAAAAAACAAAAAACCAAAAAAACATGCATTGAGGGGCTAAAGAGATGGCCCAGCAGTCAGCAGTTAAGAGCACTTGTGTTACTCTTGCAGAGAACCTGAATTTGTTCCCAGCATCCATGTCAGGCTGCTCACAACCACATGTAACTCCAACTCCAAGGGATCCAACGTACCCCTCAACTTTAAATTTTTTTAATTAAAAAGGAATACCACAAAATATCTTAAAGAAAAAAACTGCATTGAGATACCATCTCACTTCAGTCAAGAATGGCTATAACAAAAACTGATACTGGTGAGGATGTAGGGAAAGAGGCATCTTTATACACTGCTGGTGGGAATGTAAACTGGTGCAGCTGCCATGGAAGTCAGCATGGAGGATCCTCAAAATATTTAAAATTGAAGGGCTAGAGAGATGGCTTAGCAGTTAAGACCACTGGCTGTTCTTGCAGAAGACCTGGGTTCAAATTCCAGCACCCACATAGTGGCTAGCCACCATCCATAACTCCAGTTCCAGGGCACTGGACACCACCTTCTGTCCTCTGCAGGCACTGCACTATACAGGTGCACCTGCATACACGCAGGCATAACACTCATACACATAAAATAAAAATAAATAAATTTTAAAAGTTTAAAATTGAGCTAACATATGACCCAGCTATATCATTCGTGAGTATATATATAGAATTCCAATTCAACAAACCACAGAGTAACTTGCACATCTGTGTTTATTGCTGTACTACTCACAATAGTCAAGAAATGAAATCAACCTAGATGTGTATCAACAGATAAATAGATAAAATGTGTTAAGCAAATATAATGGATTTTTTTTCAGCTCTAAGGGAAAATGAGGGGCTAGAGAGGTAGCTTTGTGGTTAAGAGCACTGGCTGCTCTTCCAGAGGACCCGGGTTTGGTTCCCAGCACCCACAATCATCTGAAACTCCAGTCCCAGGGGATCTGATATCCTCTTCTGGCATCTGCAGGCGTTGTATGCATGAGTGCAGTTATATACATGCAGGTGAAACATTTATGTGAAGAGTAAATTTTTTTTAAAAAAAATTGAAAGGAAAAATGAAATCATAACATTTACAAGAGAATGGATGGGACTGGAATGATTATATTAAGTGAAATAAGCCAGAATTAGAAAGATAGTGAATGTTTTATCTTCTATTCAGAATAGATATAAACGTGTGTGTGTGTGTGTGTGTGTGTGTGTGTGTGTGCTTAGGAAGTGAAAGTAGAAGGGAGACCTGGAGCAGGGAGAGAGATGGTAACGGAGGAAGAGAAGAAAAAGGGAGGGTAATGGAATATATGTGACTTGAAAGTAGACAAGGCTGTTTCCAGGGGGGAGGGGACCTGAAGAGGGGGAAGAGGAGGGGTAGGGAAACCAGTGGGGAGGGGGGTATATAAGAAGAAAGTATAATGACAGACATATATGAAAATTCCATAACGAAACCCATAAAGAACAGTCTGGCCTACATTTGGAAGGTGAATCTCTGAGTCTGAGGCCAGCTGCTCTACAGAGAGAGTACCAATGGCTGTATAGTGAGATTCTGTCTCCAAAAAAAGTGCTTCGTAATTTACTGAAAGTGCTTTTAAATTTCTTTTGTTTTGTTTTTGAGACAGGGTCTCATGTACACTAGGATGGTTTCAAACTCACTATGCAGTTAAGGCTAGCCTTAAACTCCTGATCTCCTGCCTCTATCTCCCAAGTGCTAGGAATAATTACAGGAATGTGATATCAGGGCCAGCTCCAAGTTTTTAATTCTTAAGCAACCAATAGGTTGGTGTCTAATAACTTAAGAGGTTAGTGGTGGACAGATTTTTCCAGGTCTTTTAGACCTTGTTGTTCCACTGTAGCTTAGTGGACATCGGCCTGTTGCTTCAAAGCATTTTGATCCACAGGTTCCAGGTATCCTTCGGCTTGGGTCTAGACACAGAGGACTTGTAATCCCTATCCTCTGTAGATGAGTTTTCTTTTACAATTGGCAATTATAAGTGAATCCTTTCTGAATTATTTTATATGCAAGGCTCAGAATTTAAATTTTATTTTACTAAATGAGAAAATTTGGTGTTTTTGTCCACCAAACTGTAATCTCTCTACTGGAAGGCAGCACACGTCTCCACAATGGGGACAGTAGAAGAAAGTGCTCCTTTACTTATTTTCTTTTTAAAAAATATTTTATTGTTTTCATTTTATGTGTATGAGTGTATTGCCTGCATGTGTATGTGAGTGCACCCGTGTTGTGCAGTGCTGCGGAGGTCAGAAGAGGGCTTCGGATTCCCCTGGACCTGGAGTTAAGGATGAGTCATAGCCACCTTGTGGGTGCTGCGAATCGAACCCGGGTCCCCTGCAAGAGCAGTCAGTGCTCTTAACCGCTGAGCCATATCTCCAGCCCTTCCTTTACTTATTTTCAACTGCAGTAAATTGAGCATGGGTACAGTCTAGTGTGAAATGAACAAAGCCAGACACAGAAGAATGTTTAGACTTCCTCTAAGAACCATTTTCCCTTCCTAATTAGTTCAATCCCTCACTCTTTCCTCTCCCCAACTGGGGTTGGTGCTTATGTACCCTGGAATGTGCTTCTGAATATTTTAGTTTTCCATCAAAATGATTACAGCAGAGAAAAACAGAGGGAGAGTAGAGGACAAGGATCATCAAGAACAAAGTATGTTTGAAAATGCCAATGAAATCTATTACTTTGTATAATAATTAAAAAAATCGGTAAATGGTTTTGAGTACATTTATTTAGTTTTGGAATGATGTCTTTTGTAGTGACATTTCAGCTGATGACTTCTAATCAATAATTATTTAATTTCCTTAAGTTTGGAAGGTGGCTTTTTTTTTTCTTTCTGGCAGAATAAAATTGGCATGCCCTGGTGAAAGCTTAGGAAAGGTGTAATTGATGTACTTTTGAAACGCCACCCTAGTTTCCTCTAATTCTTCCTCCAGAAACTCTTTCCAGTTTGTCATGATTCCCAGTTGCTTTGCTACAGACATCAGCTCCCCCTGGGTGTTAACCAGCTTATCCATCACATTGCCCAGAGTGGCCTGGTGGGTTTTCTCTGCTTCTTGAAGCACTTCCTGCGCTGCTTCTTGCTTCTGCCTCTGCGCCAAGCCATGGTAGGTGTTCATTTCATGCTCCTTTGCTCTTATCAACTGGCCCACGCTTGCTTTCTGGTCTTTAATAGTCATTACACCAGTGCTCATAAGTTCCTCCATGATCTTGCTACAAAAGATAAAACAGATTTATAAATTAGATTGATTAACCACCAAAACCACTATTTTGTTTTTAATCATGGGTGTATGAAAAATTATGATGCTGAGATGAGTCACCAGCCTGAAATAGCCTGACATGTGGGAACTATTCGACTATATTAGCTATTAGCAGTCTATTAAAAAATATTTCTCAGAGTAGGGAGGCTGCCAGTTAACTTCCCCACTGTGAACTGGGGCTTAATGTCTAATGACAGCTTTGGGAATCTGAGCTCACTTTGACCAGAAAAAGATGGATGTACTGTACTTAAAAATGAAGAACCAGGTTCAGAGTCTCAAACCCCCAAACAAAATATTTCTTCATATCAGTTCATTAGTGTTTTACTTTGTTGCTTTGACTGGTCTTGGACTATGTAACCCAGGATGACCTTCAAGTTTTGGTCCTCCTACCTCAGCCTCTTAACTGCTGCCTCCTAACTGATCACAGGCCCAAGGTACCACCCCCAGCTGCTTATCTCAGACAGAAGAAAGCAAACTTTATACTCTTCAGGTAGGTTTAGCTTTAATTTTGATGTAATCCGAGCAACATTAATACAGCTATCTCCAACTTTCTGGTCACAGGACCAATCCTTTTATTACTGAGGAACTCAAAAATCTTTAGTTTATATGAGTTATAGCTATTGACTTTAGAAGAATTAGGGCTAAAGAGATACAATTAAAAAATTATTAATTAGTATAACGGGGCTGGAGAGATGGCTCAACAGTTAAGAACACTGGTTGTTCTTGCAGAAGACCCAGGTTTGAATCCCAGTACCCACATGGCAGCTAACAGCTGTCCGTAAGTCCAGTTCCAGGGGACCTGACAGCCTGTTCTGTCCTCTGCGTGCATTGCTCAACATGGGTGCACTTACCTACATGCAGGCAATGCACACATACATGTAAAATAAAAATAATAAAAAATATTAAAAATTATCAATTAGTACAAAACAGTATATTCATTATACTTTAACACAAATATTTTTATAACATCTTTTCCAAAACAATATATTTAGTGAAAACAAATTTTATGTTTGCAAAACGTAATGTATGGCTTCAAACAATGCTAGTTTTTCATATTAGTTCATGTTGTTTTTTTGTTTTTGTTATTTATTTTTTCGAGACCAGGTCTCCCTCTAGCCCCTGCTGTCCTGGAACTCTATATAGACCAGGCTGGCCTCCATTCACAGAGATCTACCTGCTTCTGCATCCTCAGTGCTGGGATTAAAGGCATGTGCCACTGTGCCAAGCCATGTTCTTTCAATATATTGTGATAGTATACATCTTAAAACCCCGAGCCGGGCGTGGTGGCATAGGCCTTTAATCCCAGCACTCGGAGGGCAGACGCAGAGGCAGGCAGATCTCTGTGAGTTTAAGGCCAGCCTGGTCTACATAGTAAGTTCCAGGCCAGCTGGGACTATAGGGAGAACTTGCCTCAAAAAGACAAAAAAAAAAAAAAAAAAAAAACACCCCCAAAAAAATATTCCCCAAAAAAAAAAAAAAAAAAAAAAAAAAAAAAAAAACACCCTGAAAAACATTATACTGATTGGAGAAGAAGAATGAAAATTAATTAATAGCTTTGACTTCATGGCTATGCTCCTTACCCTCATAGTGTCTCAGGGACCCTGAGGGTTCTTGTACTATACTGCGACAGCTGTTGAATGATTCTGACTTCTGTTTACAACATACATAGAATTTATGGCAGCCAACCCAATGACCTCTTACCATGTGCCAAGGAGGTTGTCAGGCTTCTGTCCATGTATTAATCAACGACTCCTGAAATTCTGTTAGGTAACTGTTATTATGCCCAATTTATGAGACTATTAGGGCTCAGAGAAATTAATAACTTGTCTGAGTTCACTTAATTAGAAAAAGCAGCAAAATCGCACCACAGCTAGGCGAGTCTGCGTGCACAGCAATGTTCTGAGCCAGTGTGACACTCTTCAGTGGATTTCTGTAATTAACATAATTTGAGTAGGATGGTTGAAGAATTAGGACCAAAGCATCTACAAATGCTGGATTCAAGTATTTATGATTTGTTAATAAAAATTGTCCTCCTCTCCTTCTAGTGTCTCCAAATGCAAACATAGCCTTTTCAAAATGACCTCATCTTACTGTCTAAATTCCATTCTCAAAGATGAAATTCTCTTACCTTTTCTAATTATTTCAGCTTGACTTTAAACCCAATAGACTTCCTCAGTCTTGATTTAAATATCATTCATCTTCAGCCTCTCTAGTTACTAGGTAATTTTTCTTCCTCCTTTCCATACCAACTGGGTTATACCCAGTATAAACAGCAAGGATTAATGCTTACTGTGTCCCAGAGACTGTACTAAGTATTTTACACATATATCTCATTTAATTTTTTTCAAGAAACCATTGAAGCTGGTACTATTTTTACTTTTTACCTGTTATTATTACCACATGATAGGTGAAGAAATTGAGGCTCAATGTAATTGAGCAAGTGGGAGAGTTGCTGTTCTTAGCCAGTATCTGCTTCAATCTCATAAAAAGTCACTATAAATTTTTAGTCAGGAAGAAAATACAAGAAAATAACATTTTAGAATTTTGATTTGGGTAACAGTGAGTAAACTAAGTCTTAGTGCAGTGAGTCACAGACACTAAGTAGTATCACTCTGCAATCTTCTGGAGGTGCAACAGTGAGGGTGTGAGCTAGTGACAAAAGATGGGTAGGAATCAAGACAGAAAGGAAGAGGTGGAAGGAACATCACAAAGTCTAACTGCCAGTGTCTACGACTGCTGGGATATAAGAGAGTTTACCACAAGAGGAAACTTGGGCTCTGAACTGGGCTGAGAGAAGTTGGAAAGGACTTTGGAGATGTGCTGAAGGAGAATGGAGATGGCACTGACAATAGTGATACCGTAGAGATAGTTGAGAATGCATGCCAACACACATCCTTAGGGTTTAGTCTGATATTAAACCCAGCTTGTTAGTGAGATTGGAAAAGTGATGACGAAGGCCCCTAGGGATTAGGTCAAGAAAAGCTGGACAGAAACTTCAATGACCAAGTCCCAAGTCTCTAAGGAGGAAGGTCTTCTTCCTGGGTATCCTCAGCTTGATCCACAGCCCAGACATACAACAGGAGTGAGATTCCTGGTGGCCAACTAGAAAAGCCTCAGAGCTAGCCTCAAGACAACTAATCTGATAGTCTATCTCAGATGATCCCAGCTCCTGCCCTCAGTGCTAGTCCTTTCTAAACACCCCAATATCAAAATCTGTTCTCCCAACAAGAATGTACTGTTTTTCTGAATGTACTTTTCAATTTCTCCCAGCCCCATTCAGAGCCTGAATTCAAGACCCTTTGGAATTTATTCTTTTTGATTTCAGGTCTTGGCATCTCTAAATTTTATTTATATTTATTGTATTTATTTATAAATTTTATTTTATTATGAAATGAGCAGGCAATGAATATGGTTTGTACAAATGTAGTTCTCCCTAATATATTTTGTTCTCCAAACAATACAAAATTTTTAAATAGCTAAGCTTATGAATAACAAATACTTAAAAGAATTCATGTTTAAAAAGGATTCTTTAGGGACTGAAGAGATGGCTCAGTGGTTAAGAACACTGACTGTTCTTGCAGAAGATTCAGGTTTGAATCCCAGCACCCACATGGCAGCTAACAACTGTCTGTAACTCTAGTTCCAGGGGATCTGACCCCCCTTCTGTCCTCTGCGGGCACTGCATGACACGGGTGCACTTACCTACATGCAGGCAATACACACATACACCTAAAAATAATAAATATATTGTTTTTTAAAAATGTATAAAAAGAATTCTTCAGATATGCTAAATATTTGCATAGAAAAGTAGTCAATTCTAGGATACATTTAAAATATTTTCCTATTTACAAAAACTAGTTATCTATATTTTTCTTCCCTAAAAGCAGTACTAGGAACTGTACTGTATGAAGAACAATTGAAGGAAGTGGGTATATTAACGCTCTTTTTGTTTTTTCCTTCCCGTCTCCAAACTAAATCTCGGGCTTAATCTCTCAAATATTTGAAGACTCACTGTATGGGGAGGGCAGAGTCAGACTCCAAGGGTGGATGCAAAGGTAGGGCCCAATATATTTTTGGGTGCAACAATACAAGTGACTGTTTGCATTTGATTCTCTGGTGTCATCCAGCAGCAATGCTGTCACAAACTGCTGCCAGCCATCCAGCAGAGGGGAAGGAAGGCAAGTTCTGCTTGGAACCTACAGTGCTGTCTTTATGCAGCACCTGTGCTCTTTCTGTAAGCAGTAAGGTCCCCTCTTCCATCTCTATTTTTATGAGGCCACTAACTTGGAAGTTTGAAATATATATTATATTTAAGCATGATGCTGGCAGAAATATAACAGTTTTCAACACCGTTGCAGTATATGTCCACACTACAGGAATCAAGCTGATATTTTGTAAAATGGGTTGTTACAGAATAAAAAGGTTACTAAATAAAATGCAATCTAATATCTAATAACTCAATCTTACCATGGTAGTGGTTTTAAAAAAAGGAAAATCCACAGTAGCAATCTACCTGTCTCTGCTCCCTTGAGAACTTCTGTAGCCCTCATTATTTGGGGGAGGCTGTTGAAATGGTACAGGATATACTGCTCATGGTTTAAAGAAAAAAATCAGTAGCTGCTCCTCCTCTTCTACTTAAGTGATGCTTTCCACTTCGCCTGCACATGCAGCTCCTAACAGACCTTTCAACCTCCTTTCTATGCTTATTAATAAAAGTACTGGATCTGAAGACAAAACAGGTGCTTCTTTTTCTCCAGAGGTAATTCCTAAATTATGATGGCATTTGTACCCAAAGTCATTTGTACATATGGTGGATCAAAGTTGAACAGGGCAGATCATTTTCCTGGTTAGCCTATAATAAGCTGTTAATCTATTTTTCATTTGAATTACAGGACTGTTAGCTCTATTTCAACAGATATAATCATTGTGTTTAAAGGGGAAATGCATTCTGAT